CAATCTTTTTAGCAGCACTAAAGTCCATTAGATATTGTTAAGGTATGTGTCCTTAATAATCCGTATTAAGACTAATGCAGAAATTAGTACAATAGTTGATTTGCTGGACTGAAAGGAAGGCTAATATCTGCTGCAGGATGAAGGATCAGATAGTTTTTATCATCGATGACTTTGATTAATAGCAAATCTCGAAGTTTTGTCTGAAATTCACCAATTTTATGAAGTATGGGTCACAACTAACATATTTATATTTTTTTTTATATCTTTGTCTGGAGACAGGATCAAATCCCTAAAAAACTCTCTCTGCAACAGTTGCCTCCATTTAAAGTTAATCAAAATCAAGTGATTTAAATTCACCTTTTGGAGAAGCAGTGAGGAAAAATGCTCCCATATGTCCTCCAGCAGTCTAAGCCTATAGCAGCATAACTATAGAGATAGTTCAGGATAACCTGAGCCACTCTAACTATAAGCTTTATCAAAAAGGAAAGTTTTAAGCCTAGTCTTAAAAGTAGACAGGGTGCCTAAAACTGGTACTTTGGTTCCACAGGAGAGGAGCCTGATAACTAAAAGATCAAACTAGAAAATTCCAGGAACACTGGAAAAACGATCCAGAAATGAGAAAAATGTCTTAAGTGTATTTACCCTTAAGTAAAGAAGGTAAATGAGAAAGTTTGCCAATTGAATTAGTATTTTTAGTCTTAGAATAAGATATTTAGATAATATGCACTTGAAATTAGACAATGCAGTTGTGTTTTCTTATTTTAAGTGTAAATTGTCCTGTTCCATTGGCAAAATGTCTCTTTTACCTCCTTAATCCAAGAACAAATGCACGTATTTTAAGAAAAAACGAATTATTTAGATTTCAATTTTTCCCAGTGAACCACCAGTAAACCAGCAGACTGAGAGCGAAGCGCTCTGTTAGAAACATAAGGTACAATTAGAGCTCTGATGTAAGACAGACAGTGGCCATTTAAGGCTCGATATGTAAGAAGGAGGATTTCAGTTCATTTACAAAAGCTTATTTTCCACCATAAAGTATAAAGAAATACATTTTAAAAAATTCCATAATGGGAATTCCTGGATTGTCCCTATGATGAAAACTACAGGCCTAGTAGAACTTGTTCAATTAATGACTAAGTACTTTTTGGCCTAACTGTAGAGGTATCATTTTTGTATATTTTAGTTAGTTTTTTAATACATAATACAATTTCAGTTAGTTATAGTTTTTCAGTTTTAAATTAATTTGTATTAATTTCAGTCAACAAAAATGTTTTTTTCTCATTAATTTTGGTTAACCCTAATTATCCCAGCATGAGTTAGGAACAAATTAGTGCTTTTTGAATTACTTGTATTTGCGCTAGTTGGTCAAAATCCTCTCTTATTGGCATTACTCCTATTTTTTACATTTTTTAAAATAATCTATTATCACAATAGTA